GCCCGACTTTTTATCAATAGATCATTTGTCGTTGTATCCACTTTTAGCATCAGATCGTCCATCGCCAATCTCGGTGTTGTGGTGTGGGATCCATAATTTTTCTAGGATTTATTTAAGTCTTTGATAAATTTTTAGGAATATATTAATTAGAATTATCTAGGCTTTTCTTGGAATTAAATAATTAATTTTGGTCACAACAAGTTCATGTTGCATTCATACTGGTGCATAGTGTTTTGTCCGATTGCATTCAAACCTGAGTTTAAATTTATTTGAATTCAAGTTTGAATTACTTGTGTTTAGCCTTAGAATAATTCTTTTTGCTCGAGTTTGTTTTTGCTCCTTGAAGTCTTGCTCAGCTCCTCTTTGATCCTTCGCCTTTTCATTCTTCTGGTCGTCCGCCTGTCTCGTCCGTCCGCAGCCTAGCAACTTGCTTGGCCCAGCCTCCCTCTCCCTCGCCCTCTCCCTCGCGTGACCCATTCCGCACCAGCCAACTCCTTGCTAGCGTGGCGCCCAGCGCATTCCCTTTCAGCACCGCGCCAGCCCGAGTCCGCTCGCACTCCCTCTCTCACTGACAGATGAGCCCCACCAGTCAGGATCTTCTTCCCCGACCGGACTCGTCTCCGTGAGTCCACGTTCATCCGGACTCTATAGCCGCCGTCCATTTCCATCTAGGGATCTCGCTTCCTGGCCCCGACTCTTTAAAGTTGCGCTGCCCCGCACCCTCAGATCACACCAATCCCTAAGCAGCTCTACGCATCGCGCCCTCAAGCCCGCAAGCGCCGCCGCAACCTTAGCACTGGCGGCCACCTACACAATCCGCGCCACTGCCCTGTTCTGGACGAGAAGTAGCTCGTCAGGTGCGCAAGGACGTAACGAAACTCTTGGTGTAGTTCTCGTCCACTCTCTCCCTCTCTTTATTTTGTTGCCTAATCGCTCGCTGTTGCCGTGTAGTGCCGCATTCTGCTCGCTCACCATCGTCGGCCGCCATGTCACCCGTCCATCCATTCCAGCAGTACATGTCATCTGCGCATGTCACGCTTGTCGTCCCCAGCCAATCCCCATTCGTTTTTTTTTGCCCTCTAATGCATGATTCATTTGCTCCGGCGAGCACTGCAAGAAATCTGGACTTTTATGACATCTACTATCTACTATTCCTAAATAGAAGACCCCCACTAGCAGATTTATCTGCAATCTCATGAAGCCACATCACCGCCTATTTCGAGATCTACACTTTTAGTTTAGTAAGTTTTTCCATCCGAGGTCGTTTACAAAATTTGAATTTTAAAATTTTGAAAAATTCAAACGCAGTTTTGCATGACAAGATGTTTTAAAATCAAAAGGTTGTCAACTACAATGTTTCATAACTTTTCGAGATCTACAGAGTTTATTTTTGTTGTTTTTTCATTCGAGGTCGTTTGAAAAGTTCGAATTTTAAAATTTTGAAATTCAAATGCAGTTTTGCATGACAAGATGTTTTCAAATCAAAAAGTTGTCAATTACAAAGTTTCATAACTTTTCGAGATCTACAAAGTTTATTTTGGTTATTTGGTCATCTGTTCATCCGACATGGTCGTTCTAACATTGTTCATAAATCTTATATATCTCTCTTATAGTTTCATAAACTACAAGAGAGATATGTTAGATTTGTGAATAAATTTATTTTCACTTTGTCGTATGAAGAAAAGACCAAAACAAACATTGTACATCTTGATGAGTTATAAAACTTTGTAGTTGAAAACTTTTTCATTTGAATTAATTTACTGCTTCAAAATATGCTTTGAATTTTTTTTTGCCGAGTGTCAAAAAACAACACTCGGCAAAGAGGCTCTTTGCCGAGTGTCAAAAAAAAAACACTCGGCAAAGAAGTTTTTTTTGCTAAGTGTAAATTGTATGTTTGAGGCCCTAAACGAATTCAAATAAAAAAGTTGTAAACTACAAAGTTTCATAACTTTTCGAGATCTACACTTTTAGTTTAGGAAGTTTTCCCATCCGAGGTCGATTACAAAATTTGAATTTTAAAATTTTGAAATTCAAACGCAGTTTTGCAAGACAAGATGATTTCAAATCAAAAAGTTGTCAATTACAAAGTTTCATAACTTTTCGAGATCTACAAAGTTTATTTTGGTTGTTTGATCATCTATTCATCCGACATGGTCGTTCTAACATTGTTCACAAATCTTATATATCTCTCTTGTAGTTTCATAAACTACAAGAGAGATGTTAGATTTGTGAACAATTTTACTTTCACTTTGTCATATGAAGAAAGACCAAAACAAACATTGTACATCTTGATGAGTTATACAACTTTGTAGTTGAAAACTTTTTCATTTGAATTAATTTACTGCTTCAAAATATGCTTTGAAATTTTCTTTGCCGAGTGTCAAAAAAATAACACTCGGCAAAGAGGCTCTTTGCCGAGTGTCAAAAAAACACTCGGCAAAGATCCTCTTTGCCGAGTGTCAAAAAAACCGAGTGTCAAAAAAACACTCGGCAAAGATCCTCTTTGCCGAGTGTCCAAAAAAACACTCGGCAAAGGCCGCTTTGCCGAGTGCCCGAAAAACAACACTCGGCAAACCACTTGGCACTCGGCAAAGAACCGGTCTCCGGTAGTGGTCGTTAACAGCAAGTTTCTGGACTCTCTTGTTCCAATGCTGCACACCCTCACTGCAATGCTAGGAAGTGCCAAACAGCTTTCTTTTCTATTCCAAATCACTGTGATACAACACAAAGACATCCGAAAATTTCTCCTAAATTCACTTATACAAAAGGTCTACCAATCTTGTCTGAGGACATGGATCAAAATCTACACAGTTTAGAAGTTGCAAGGACTCTAATTCGACTAAAAACACAGCAAATTTGGTACCAATTGAGGACTCTACGAACTGAGTGGCTAATCTTGCACGGCAGACTCAAGAATTACTTACCGCACTAGTGCAGATTGCAGCTGTGCAGCAGGCAGCAGGGCTGTGCGGGGGGCGGGGCGGCTGGCTCCGCGCGTGGGCGGATCTGCCGACGCCTCCGTGCCCACTTCCAACTTCGCCGCCGTCACGGAGGAGAACACGGAGGGGCCACTCCCGAGCGCTGCAGCACGAGTCGGCGACGGGATGCGCAGTGCTGCTTTCAGCGGGGGATCCCCCGTGCATCCGCCCCTACCTCCTTGTCGAGGCGGGCGTTGGCGTGGCGGCGGAGAGGCGGTGCTTGCCGACGTAGCCGACGTTCCCAGTGAGCGGCGGCAGCGCGCGGGCGTGCGTGGCTAGTGCTGCTGCAGCAGACCGGAGGACGGCCTCTAGGCATGGTGCTGCCTCTGGTACGGCGGGCCCTGGCCCTAACCCCGGTGGGCGGCCTCTAGGCCTCAGCAGGCAACGATTCCCCAGCCGTCTTGTTAAACGAGATTTCCGTCTTGTTAAACGAGATTTTCCGGCTAGGTCGTTAGTGACGCGGCTCAACAGGAAGAGTCACTGATATGTATAAATATGAGTGACGCGTCTGGACATCACGCGTCACTTTTATTACCAGTGACGCGTTTTGTTGGAAAGAGTCACTAATATATCTACATATCAGTGACGCGTCACTGATGATAACAGTGACGCGTTTTGTTGGGAAGAGTCACTAGTTTGTATCTATAACGGTGACGCGCCTAGTTAAAACGCGTCACTACTATTATCAGTGACGCGTTTTATTGGGACGAGTCACTCATATCTTGTCATTAGTGATGCGTCTTGCTTTTTTGGCATCGGTAACCACTAATCAGTGACGCACTTAGTTCACCCACGTCACTAATGTACTTATCAGTGACACGTTTTAGTTTTGAGTCACTAGTTGAGGTGTCTCCTTTGTGCTGTTTTGGCATAGTGTCTATCACTGTTCTAGAAGATATCCATGAAAAATAGCACACACTTTGCTAACACGAAGGATATTCCTAACCATCAAAAATAAATTCAGAGACAATAATGATCTTTCATTCTTTTCTAATCGTAGACCAATGCTCTATTTTATATCTCGTTTTTATTATTACCGTATATTAATAAAACTACCTTTTTGCAAAAAAGAAAAACAGCTACCCCACACTTACATGCCACAAACGGCCACGGACCCCACGGTGTCCAACAACGAAGCCCAGTGGCTTCCTTTCAAACTGCCTCTCTTCTCCGGTTCAAAAGAACAATATCTTAACAAAAAAGTTTGCTGGTTGACCATTGATTTTGGGGGAAGCCTATAGTGCTCGAACATCCGGATGGGGGCTAGCGTCCAGACGCCCACGCCGCATGCCTGCTTCACGTGGCGTCCCACACCACTCCGTGTCCCGTGTCCCGTGTCCCCTCCGTGTCCCGTGTCACTTCATGTCCTATGCCCACTTTCGTTCGACCTACGCCTGCATGGATTCCCACGCCAACCGCTCACGCCCCTCCACACCCATGCGCCTGCAGGCGGGCCCAGCAGCTGCAGCTGCTGCAGATGGGGTCCCCTGCAATATGTGCAACACCAGATATACCATTTGCAACATACATCCGAAAACATATGCAACATCTAGATGAAACAGTTGCAATATATATGTGAAAACATATACAACATCTGGACGAAACACTTGAAACATAAGTGTGAAACATATGCAACACACAGATAAAACACGTGCAATATCCGTCTGAAACACCTAAAACATTTGGAACAGACACTTTGCAACGTATGTGTATAGCTATTGCAACATGTGCAACATCACAATATACTTTTACAACATGCACATAAAACACTTGCAACATGTATATATATGAAACACTTGAAACATACACTTGCAACACGTGGTTGCAACATCCGAAGAACGAAGGGAGCGCGAGGTGTAGCCGGAGAAGCCTGCTCCAGGTCTAGCCACTCCAGATCTCGTGATATCACGAGTTGAGGTCAAGCGCCGCGGCGGCACTGGCATTTTCAGCGGCAACGACGACGTCGGCAGCACATCGACGCGGTGAGGGACGGGGCACGGCGCGCAAGGGCGGGGACCGGGCATGGTGCGACGAGGTGGAGTGGGCGTGGAGGGATGGGGCATTGGCGGCGGCGGCGTGGGCGCTGCGACGACACGGATAGGCGTCGACGCGAGGCGGCCGTGCAGCGAGATGATGGCGTGAGCTGCGACGAGCGAAGCGAGGAGTTGGGGGTTTCTATCGGCTATCGCAGTGTAGATGGAGTAGATAGAGGAGAGAGAGTACATGGGCCTATTGGGCCAGTCGTTGTGCTGGAGCAAGCATGGAGGAGAGCGTTCAATTTTTTTTTAAACTCCGGATGTATGGTGTGAAGCATTACGGTTGATTTTGAACCCACGTATGCACTGGCCGTCTGGCCCTGCCAAACAGAGGGCCCAAAAGCACCGGAAGCCCATCTGCCAAAGCGGACCTTCTGTGTTGTTTCGGCATCGTCCACGGAAGACCACGGCGGCCAGATGGAGTCTAACACTGAAACCCCTCGCTAACCCTAATCCCCAAATCCACGGGAAACGCATTCCAAATTTCCAATCGATTCGACTTCAACTCCTATGGGTGAGGATCAACGCCGCTGCCGCTCCGGCGAAGACCGCATCAGCGTCCTCCCCGACGAGCTGCTGCACGAGATCCTGGTCCACCTTGGCTCCGCCCACGCCGCCGCGCGCACCAGCGTGCTGTCCCGCCGCTGGCGCCACGTCTGGGCGCACCTGCTGGAGTTTCGCCTCGTCGCGCCGCCAGCGGCACCGTCGACGCTGCCCTTGGTGGCTACTTAGCCCCTACCCTTGAGCACCTCGGCGTCTCCCACCGCACCGACCAACAAGGCCGCGACCTCCGCATCCCGCCTGGACGTATTGCGCCGTGGCTCCGCTTCGCAGCGGAGCACGTGGTGGGCGAGCTCAATCTCTTTCTCCGTGTGCCTCAGACCTTCGTCGGGCCGGAAGTCGTCCGGGAGGAGGCGGTGCTCGAGCTTCCGGTATGTGAACGAGCGAAACGAATCGAGCTCTTTCTTCAATATGCATATACACACTGGCTCTGCCCCCAGGCATCCGGTCTGTTCACGGAGCTGAGGTTCCTGAAGATAGATGGCTATGTCCACATGGAAGGCAGAGGCAGCGATCTCACAGCCCATGCTTGATGAACCTGAATCTTTTCATTAAGCTGATTGTCAACTTTGATGTCTTCATTCACTCGAACTCGTTGCACACACTGGTGCTCCGCGTCTTAGAGACAAGGCGTCTAGAGATTTTGGCCCCAAGACTTGAAGAGCTCACTATAATTATTAAGCCAATGGAGGCTGATATCTCTGCTCCGAAGCTTGTCAAGGTAGCCTGGCATGATGCCTATGACCCTCATCTCCATCGGTTTGTTGATGTTGGCCGTACCCTCCAGCTACTGGAAACTTTCTCTCATGCGTCAACCCTGACCAAGCGGTTTGATGAAGTTGATGAGTTGGATGTGAGCATCGATCTAAAATACCGTGGTGTGTTGGCATTAACAAATTTCATCGGAAGTTTTTTTTCATTATCAGACAGTCTAACTGATTAGTTATGTCTACTCATGAGTCATGACAGATGTAGCAAGGTATGGAAGTTTCTTGAATGAAACAAATAAGCTGCCCAAGTGTAAGAGCTTTTGCGTATTCTTGTCGTGGGAACACCATGCCTTGGTGCCTGTCATGTTGCATCTCTTGAGGAGTTGCAATGGTACAAAGAAGCTTGGAGTACATTTGTGGGGTCCTTCGTCCCGACGAATGGTAATTTCTAAGACCTTTAGCTTTATAATATGCCATAAAACTGTTTGATGGCAAGCTTTGACTTGTTATTTTGATAATTGAGAGTTTTGTTATATGTTTGTTAGGTGGGGTGGTTGAGGTTCTGGAAATGTTTATTTATCATTTTTTAAATGTTGATATTCTTTATAAACCATTATTGGACCAAATTGAAGACTTGTGCTTTAGCTAGTAAACATTTCATTTTCGGTTGCTTAGCTTGTTTGAATCTATGTTGTCTTGGCCTAGCTGTAAATGAAGGGTGACTTCGTAGGTAGCAGAATTGGCAGGTGTGGGGCTCATCACTATGTAGTGCTGCAATGTTTTTTAAATATGTTTTATTTATTGCACAGCTAGCTGAACGCCTGAACCTCGCACCAACAAAAGCAAATTAACTCTGTTGATTTATGAATATTATCAATATTATCCACTACTGCAATGATGTTGCATTCTCTTTTAATTTCCAGATGCTTTCTTGCCTGCCGTCTTGCCCTTGTCGTTTGGAAGAGAGTCGCAAGATTGATGTCATTGATCTCAGTTCACTTGAAGAGGTAGAAACCTCAGGTTTTTCTGGTTCTCATGAACAAATGGAACTTGTGGAGTTCCTATCCAGCAATGCCAGAATCCAAAAAAGGTTGCTCATCAATGACGAGTATTGCCGTAGGCCCAAGGAAGTACATGAGAAGGTCCGTAGCATGTGTCATCCAAATGCTAAAGTTGAATTCTTTTTGTTCCGCGAGGGGAGGCAGGTGCTTGTTGACTAATTTCAGGCGTGTGATAAATGTAATATTGTGGTTTTTACTAGTTTTTGCACAGCAAGTGCAGGATTGTATGTTTCAGGCATTTTTATGATTCATCATGAGTTCAAATTTGAACTTCGATCAACTAACTCTAGCCCAAAAGTCTCATTTCTGTTTTTCTTCTAAGACTTCGAACATTTACATCTAATCTTGAGATTGCAACATATTCATTAGAATAGAGATGTATAAGTGACCTGACACTCCCTATGCCAAAACTGCACAAAAGTGACACCCTGGTCGGGTGACGCAGAATTAGGACGCCTATATAATGTGACATCAAAGATCTGGATACACCTGGGGCCAGTTTGGAATGCATGTAACGTGACATCAAAGACGCGGATACACATACACTTTGGCTCTATTTGGAATGCGGTGGTTTTTTCCTATTTCTATGTTTTTCCTATGAAATTGAACTGATTTCTATGATCTTGTATGATTCCTTCAAAATTCTGCGTTCCAAGCAGGTGCTTAACATGTCTCTGATGAGTTGCCCTCCAATGCCAGTGGACGAAAGGTGTGTGACCCGCATCACCGGACTCGAAAAAATTATCAACTAAGGTTATATCATCGCATTCATCCAATCCTCGCGTCACGTCCGTCCTAGATAGTTTCGGCTCTATCTCCACCGTCGCATTCTTTTTTCTGCTCTTCAGAATGGTTTGATTATATTTAGAAAAAGTTGTCCCTAACTAATTATGTATATGTTCTAATACAAGGATAGATCAATGAAGGAATGGTCAATAGCTGTATCCGCTGCATTTTTTCTGTTCTTCAGGATGTTCGTTGGATGGAACATAGGAGTGTGTGCCGCACGGAGAGCAGCTGTGGATCTCTTGGGACTGGCTCATCAACAGCTCTGATTCCAACTCTCATCACATATAAGTCCTCGGGTATATATCTGTACTACTCCTACATGGTATGTATAATGTGTTTGCTGTCGTTAACATTCGGTAGTATGTTCAATTCTTGTGAACTCCTCAACACTTGGTAGCGTATTCATCATATGTAGAAATAATAAGGCTAATTTGTTAGATACAAGGCAGTTGGCAGCAGAACTATATGTGAATGTGCTTCTTAAACTTCACTTCTAACATGGCAGCCACATCCTTGTATTATTACTGTTATTTATTCTAGAACTGGCGCCAAAAATGTTTCTTGCCAGTTCCAAGGTTGCGGGGCGAGTGGGCAATTGAACAAGCAGTGAAAGTGTTTTCACCGTCAGCTCAGCGTATGATCTGGCAGTGATAATAAGGGTCGTTTTTACTGCCGGGGACCATACGCTGAGCCAGCGGTGCAAAAGGTTTCCACCGCCAGCCAGGTCAGCTATGCGCCACATGGTATTGAACCGGCGGCGACAAAACAGTTTCACCACTAGTTATGTAATAAACGATGGTGATAAGGGTGCAGGGATAACCATTTCTGTAGTAGGGTTAATTCGGGAGCCTGCACCGGGCAGTTAGGGGCTTGGGGCTGGGTGCCGGGCTCATGGACTGGGCTTGTCGGTGATCTCAACCTACACGGGGCTGCAGCTGTGAGACAGGGATGCGGCTATGGGTAGATTCATATAGACGATGAAGAGATGCTCTAGAAAGCTCGATGTTGTGCCTGCTTTTCGAAGGCACGATAGAAAATATGACGGTGGGGGAAAATGGTTGATGGGCACCTTACCACTGGCACCGACAATGCTCTTCTAGCACATGCTAGATTTTAACAAAAAAAAAAGTCAAGACACAAAGGGTGGCCACAACGGACACCTCCAAGTTTAAATTCATTCAGCTAGTAACCAACACAATTATTTATCACTCGTTAATTAGCGTGATATTCTGATTTATGTTACCTCCCTATCCAAGATTTGTTCATGTGAAGTGAACTACCAAAGCAAGTGTTTTGACGGTGTGAGTAATACATCGAAGCAAGTGACTAGGAAATAAATAAAGTGATGGAAACAGTCCACTACTGGAGACGGCCTCTTAGGCCCTCGGCAAAGGCCCATTAACCCTCGGCAAAGGCTTTGCCGAGGGCGGCCCTCGGCAAAGAGCTCTCGGGGAATTTTGAGTCGGAGAAGAGGGTCTTTGCCGAGGGCCCTTTATCGGGCACTTGTCAAAGCCTTTGCCGAGGGCTGGAGCGGCACTCGGCAAAGAAAAGCAGCCGTCACGGCGCCGGCGCCTGGGACGGAGTCTTTGCCGAAAAAAAAAATCTTTGCCGAGGGCCTCCAAGCATGCCTCTCGGCAAAGAAATGTGCAGAATTTTTCCAAAAAATCTTTGCCAAGGGCAATGGGACGGCCCTCGGCAAAGAATTATTCTTTTTTTTAAAAAAATCTTTGCCGATGGCTTCCCCGCAGGCCCTCGGCAAATAATTTTATTTTTTTAAAAAAAAAGTCTTTGCCGAGGGCCCCTAACCATGGCCCTCGGCAAAGAAATGTTGCAGAATTTTTTTTAAAAAAAAATCTTTACCGAGAGCAATGGGACAGCCCTCGGCAAAGGACCCTTCTTTGCCGAGGGCCTTGGTCATTGCCCTCGGCAAAGAGGCAGAAATTTAAATTTTTTTTTGTTTTTTGTATTCCATCGACACAAGCATTTCATATATATATCACACAGAACCCATTTTCTCACAATATATCACAACCATAATTGTGAACCACAAATCACAATATATTACAACGACAAGTCACATGTTCATCATCATTCACATGTTTATTACGACAAGTTCATAAAATCCAAGCACAAGTCAGAACCATAAACCACAAATATTACAATAAAGTCCAACCACATCACCTAACACTAGTCCTCATCAAGGTAGCCTATGAGACGGTGGTGAAGGAAAGGCGGGATTAGTCGGTGACGCACTATCGGGTTGATTGGAACCCGCGGACGGAGGCTGCACAAAGGAGCAGAGATTGCATGTGTGAGTAATCCGGGAAAACAGTTTTGGAACTTAGAGATTGCATCTAGTAATCTAGCAATACAAAAAGATTAGACTCAATAGAAAATTTCGGCAGCACCTCCCTTGCACGGGGAGGTTTCCAAAACCTACAAGATACAATGGCACGAACGCTGACATCCACAACGGCACGAAGGCCGACATACATGCAAAGCACAAGCGAAAAGTGAACTTTCATACTTATAGGAGTAGCTGCAGGAGTAGGAGGTGGAGGAGCTGAAAACTGCACAGGTACACCCGATGATTGCCCAAGACTTTGCATGATCACTATCATCTTCGTCATCTGCTTCTGCGCGGCCTCGAACGCGACCTGCTGGGCCTGCAGCTGTGCTGTCAGTTCCGCGTTCTGCTCTTGACTTTGCCTTTTTGTTTCTTCCAGCTCGGCCTGCAATATTTCACTCCAATGTATCAGTAATGCAAATCTAATTTAGGTGTGTAAATATCAACGTACGACGAGTAAAACAGGAATTACCTGGAGTGCCTGGACCTGCTGCAGTGCTGGAGAAGGCCGTGAGCGTATGGGCTAGCTGGAGCTCATGCTCCGTGCTCGGATAGCGTCGAGGGAGGGAACAGTGGTGGAGTCGATGGCACCGTCTGCAATCCACAGCCGCCCGTGCTTCTTGCCTCCTGCGAGCCTCATGATCGTCTCTGCATCAATGGGCTCAGTGCGCATATTGTAATCTTCCCCATCGATCTCCCTTACCGAGGACGTGTACTCTTGGACTTTAGTGTACACGTTCGGGTCAGAGTACACCTGGGGTGGGGCAGCCGGGTCGAAGGAGACAGAGGACGACGCCCTGCCCATGTGGGACATAGCCCACGCAGAGAACTCCGAGACCTCCTCGCCCGGGTGTGTAGCCTCCTACGAGAAAGACGGGAAGATGGTGAGAAACTAAACAGAATTGAGCATCAAAATAAATGAAAGAAATCACTTACGTATGCTTGTTTGTATCTCGGGAGGGTGCGGCTGCCTTGATGGTGAGTTGGACCTTGCCTCATCAGACGCTGTTCCCGCTGCCTCTCGTGCATGTCAACAAAGTCCTGTGATAACCACTTGTCCACGATCATGGCCCAGCACTCGGGATACTATCGGCACCACCAGGGAATCACCTACAAGTCATCGAGTATTTGACATATAAGAAGATGAAATTGAACCTACTTAATATCAAAATGAATCATTATGAATGTTATTCGCCTACCTCAAGGTACTGGTCCCGGGTCAGCGTAATCAGTCTTGCTTGAGGCTTGGTGAGGGACTGCTTAAGTACCGACCTGTAGTAGTCTATGTGGGCTTGGACGCGCCCATGGTGGTGCATCTCGGTGGCGTACTTCTTACAAGCTGCGGCGGCCGCCCGATCCGCCTAGGCCTCAAGTCCTTCTTCGGCCTTGAAAAATTTCTGCATGCAAAACCGATGTATCCATTCATTATTTCAATAAAACATTTAACCAATGAATGAGATGTATTAAGCAATGTTGTGCGAGAGAAACTTACCCAAAACTCTGCTAATACCCGCTCCTGCTTGTTGTGGTAAGTGTCATCCGTGACCAGCGCATACATGTCCCAGTTGGAGGCCGGCTCCCGCACCACCGGCTCTTCGGACAGTTGCACAATGCCGGGTACCATTTCCTGCACAAAACACCAAGGATGCTCGCGGGGGTGCGTGCTGAAGTACCTGACAAAACCAACTAGGCCCTGCACAAGTGATTAAGAAAATTTATCAGTTTCTCTTATGATTTCCAACATATCTTATGAAGTAATTGTGATAACATCTATAGTTACTTACCTCTTTGCCATAGGCCGAATCACTAGGTGGTTGTGAAGAAGCGGAACCGGAGGGAGGCTCGCGGGACCTCGCTCGTAGGGAGTCTGGGTAGCGGTACCCCCTCCGTCGCCCTCGAGCTCCTCGCCTCCCTCGCCCTCGAGCGCCTCGCCTCCCTCGCCCATCTGCTGACCCCTCTCGTCCTCCGACGAGGATGTGGCCGTGGCCGTCACGTGCTCCTCCTCCAGCACCTCGTCATGTGGCGAGGGAGGAGACCGCTGCCTCCTGCGGCTGCTGCCCCTGGTCCTCCTCTCGTCACCTCCTACGGACACTGCCCCGGACAACGACCCCTCACCTCGAAGGAGAGGGCGGTCTCTCCCGTAAACCGAGGGCGTGTCACGGCGTGGACGTCTGCACGCCATCTTTGTTCAATCACCTGCAATCACAAAGAATGAACAAGACTAATTAGTACATATATTAGAATTAGATTCAAAATATATAAACAAAACACGAATTAAAAAACATGGTATTACATGTATTAGGAATAATCTTCATGATTGGGATCATAGGTCTCATCATCACTGTCAAAATTGTCCAAATGGGCAACACTATCCGAAGGTTCTATGTTGTCATCGTAGTCATTGCCTAGAAGTAATCGCTCAAGCATTGCTATGTCCTTGGCATTTACCACCACATCTCCATCGACCTTGCCATCAACCATTTCGTTGTCTACATCCATTTCGATTGCTTCGGGTAAGACTATCTCAAACATGCCTGGTAGCCCATCTTCTTGATAGAACTGTCCATCATATGTGTTTGCGTTGAAGTTGTAATCATCATCGTTTTGCGCAGGTAGTTTACCGTCTGGAGATACCTGATGCACAATAGCCCAACCCTTAAGATCCTCTTTGTCTTGGTTGGCGTATCGAGTATAATACACCTGCATGGCCTGTTGAGCCACAATGTAGACATCTTTTCCAGGATAGATGGAATCTTCTCGAATCTTGACTAGCCCAAGATGAGGGGTTCATCTCGTTGATCGAGGATTAAACCAGTGGCATTTGAACATGATAGGTTTAAGAGGTTTGTCTCCATGAAATGAGAGTTCATAGATTTCCTCAACTCTACCATGATAGTCGAGGTCATCAGTGCCGGGCGTACAAACTCCGCTATTTGTGGTTTTTCGTTTGGGCCGAATCTGCTCGTAACTTGTTGTGTGGAAGCGATATCCGTTCACGTCATAGCCGGTAAATGACTTCACCCTAACGTCACAGCCATTTGCAACCTGTTTCAACTCGTCACTCATGGACGAACTGGTCTGGGCCTACAAGGTGAAGCATGATAGATCATTATATTAATCAAACGTACGATCACCTTAGACGATCGAACGTATGAGCTAAATTGGACATTACCTTTTGTTTGAACCAAGAAATGAAATCAGGCATCCCCGCTCCTGCACCCCGCGAAACAAGGGTGTCTTGTTCATGCGAGGTAGGGTCCCTTGATTGATGCCAGAATTCACAAACAAATTCCCTGTCCGAACG